AAATCTTAGTTGTAAAAAACACAAATAATAAACTGAGTGGACAAAATACTAATAATGGATTTAATGAACTTCTTCATCCATAGAAAATGTCTCATGAAAAGCGCTGAGCTACATGGTCCCTGTGACGTCACAAAGGCCGATATTGGGTCTCGTTAGGCATCGAATTTCAATGTGCTTTCTGGACGTTGGAACGAGAGCTGTGAGAGTGAATGAGCTGCCCCTTTCCCTCCTCACCCGCCGCGGCCTCCCCCTCCCGTAATTAGACGCAAAAGATTTCTCTTCTGTGATTTGACGCCTTCCATTGCGGTCCTTCTATTTGCTTCTATAACGTTTCCCTATTTTTTCCTATGCACATAAATAATCAGGTCCGATGGATTGGAGGGCGACGGGGCTCGACAGAAGCTGCTTTGGACAATTTCCGATTTTGTCTTTCCTCTTTCCTTCTTTTTTCTTTTTCTTTTCCTTTTCATCCATGTTGAGAGGATTTACCCAAAGTGAAACTATTCCAAAAATGCCAATTGTAATAATAGTAGTAAATATTTTTGTTTTATTGTGTTATTATTGATTGCTGCGTCTTTCGAGGTTTCTATGCATATTGTTCCATTGTTTATTATTAACAATACTATTAATAATTTATGTAAACAAACTCCTCCTTGAATTTCTTTCGGAAGTGGCTATACTGACTGAATATTAACGTGCCAAAGTTACAAAGAGAGAATCTGGAGAATATTTTATTACCGTTTTTCAACAGCTGTCAAAAGTAATCAATGAGACGCGGAAATAGCAGTTCCGTCTTGTTGCGGTCCCTTTTATTCAGTAAATTTCTTTACTACTTTAATATATGTTGGTTGTTGAGTTTATATTGTGTTGTTTGTGTAACGGCAAACAAAACAGCTAACAGGTCTACTCACTTGGGATGCGCCATGCACTTATGTTTCATGCAGAAACATTGCCGTTTGAATGGTCGTACAATACTCACTATTACTAAATGTAATCGCCGAAGTAACCATGTGAATTTTTATGCTACAATGCTTTCAATACCCAAATTTTTTCATTATCTACGGCAATTTTATGGTTATTAACATGATGGCTTACAGTACTCAAGTTATTGGGCACAATTTGCACTCTACTACTCCAATTTTCAAAAATTGGGCCAGATTTTTCTCGTAATCTGTCTGCCGGGGTAGATGTAAACAGAGATTTTCAGACGTGAATAGCTTGGCTCAAATATTGCATTCACTTGACGCCAGCGCCCATTGCGTGAGCTCCGCACAGGTTTGCGCCAAACGATATTGCCTCAGAGTCCCTATGCATCAATTTTCAACCTATTTTATTGTTAAAGGTTTTTTTGCCTTCAGCGTTTGGGGCGCGAACGCCGGGCCCGTCCAGAAAACTACCCTCCCTTTCAAAATACGGGGCAGTTTTGGTGCAGACCATACACCACACTGACGCCAATCCAAGTAAATTTGTTCATAGTGATAGCCGATTTCTGGTAAATGATAGTTATAATCAGTGACAATCGATAGAATACAACTGCAACAGGCTAATCATTTCATTAGCAGAAAGCATTTACATTTTGTGAAGGCCGTCGTCACTTGTGGTGTATGGTCGCAACACGGCGCCCTTCTCGTTATTCTGAAAGAGGGTACAGACAATTCAACCTTGTGGGAACAAAATTCAGAGAATATATCGTGTATGAAATGTATATTTCGATTTTTAGGGTAGTAGAAGAGAAATAATGCCGATGATCGGAATAACATGTGTCTAAAAATATATCTGAAGTGTAGAATAGTATCTATTCGAATTTTATTTTTTTATAAATGCGGAATGCATCTATTTAAAATGTATCTGTAATCTCTCTTCTCTGTTTCCTTTACTACTCAATTGTAGAAGTATCAGAGGGAGGATTTTTCCTTTCCAGGGTGGATATCCTAAAAAAGCCCCGGCGCTACATCGGCTGGCCCTCGCACGTCATTGTGTAGGCCACTTGCATTCCACACGGTGTCTGGTGGCCTGCCCACCAAATTCTGAATGGAAGTGAATGCGTGCGATCCTAAAATGAGCTAGATGAGCCCCACTAGATTTGTGCTTTTATCCTGAATGGTTTCAGTTCATTTTGATCTTGCGAATCAATAACGGCTAGTCTTCGATATCTCAGTGGTGATCGATATGTATGTAATTATTTTCAGATGAAATGACACGAAGCGATGCGTTCAGCGGTCGTGTTGGAGCAGTACAATGCCGTGCGTGAACAGCTGCAAGCCCGTATTGCGGAGAAAATTCGAAGACAAATGAGCACACTCGTATGTTATTTCGAGCACTTTTTGGCCATGAATATGGGCAAATGGCTGGCCACGCGACCAAACACGCGCTAACAGCACAGCCAGCCAGCCAGCCAACCAGCCCAGCCAGCGTCAGCCGAGACGACGACGTCGGTTGTCGCCTCGTCGGCCGCGCCTCTTCTCGATTCCCAAATGACTGCCTGAAATGGCACAGTTTTTGGGTAGTACTTGTGGTCACTAGGGATTGAAGACGAACAAACGCCTCAGTTGCCCGTTTATTCCGCCATTTTTCTAATGTCCAACACCATGTACAGAAAGCGTCGCTTCTATGTTGGAGCGCTTGCCAAATTGGTATAGTTCCTTTGTTATTGATTTTTTCGCTTATTTAATCGATTTCTATTTGATATGTCGTGGGAGTATTTCTGTTCTGCTTTCGCATAACTGAAAAAACTCAAAATCTATTTCTCTATATCTTACACCTTATATGCTTGGTTTGTGCCACATGTGGTTATATGTAGTTTGGCCTCAATTGTCAAAGATCAATGACTAGGCTTAGTAGCCCAACATAATAGCGCTGACTTGAAAATTTTCCACGAAATTGGAACGCGATAGTTCCTTTTGACAAATAGGCCATCAAGCGCTTTAGCAAATTCGATTGATAGAGGGGCTGATTGAATTTGGAGAGATTTCGGGTTGATTTCTAGAAGAATTGAATTGTCCTAAAGAATTTTCAATGGATTTTCCGTCTTCTCTTCTACCAGTTCTGTATCAATCCAGTGGGCTGAGCTTCCGGGTCAGTACGACCCAGCAAACTGGGTTAGCGATACCTGGTTTGTCACTGACCAGAGTCAACGTGAAGTCGGGGAAAAATTGAAATCGGGCAACCCCACCCTGAAGGGTAACCCTGGTGCGAGTCCTTCCCCATTACCCCTACCACCGTTGTTATATTTTTATTTCATTAGATCCTGCTACCACCTGACATAGTGCTGAGAGCAAAATTTTCCAAATCCCATAGAAAATTTCTCAACAATTTGGAAGAAATTCTCAAAAATCTCCTGTTTCTTATGTCTTTTTCGGAAGTGCGATGGTTCTCCAAAAATCGCAAGGTACAATCCCCCTCCCCCTTCCTCCCACCTCTCGATGGGAGAATCCCAAGACGGTTAACCCTGTCGTTGACTCGGTTGCCCATCCGGTGAACCCCTCAGGGTCATCACCCCTTTTTCGAACCGCTCGATTCTCTGTTTTAGTTCCATTTCGTGCTTAATCTCTGAGTTCCAGCTCGTCCTTACAACCGCTTCTCCAATTGATCACAGCTCCACAATTGGCGCGGCTAAATAGCAGTGGTAGATGCTTACGCGTGGGCTGTCAAGCTCATGCATAGTCATGTGCTGGGGCTCGCTCTTTTTCAATGATTTGTTACCCCAAGTGTGAGATGTCGTCTCCTTCCAGTGTGAATTATCCTGACATTCTGTAGATGAGTCTTTCACAGGAAAAGCCCTCTTGGCAAAGCGAGCGCCAGCGACATAGCGCGTATGCATGTTGCGTAGCGTGTTGTTTATTGTTCACTTTAGTTAATTTTGCTAAAAAATGTTGCTTCAAGTATGAAAAACTGAACAGAAACCGTTGACGAGTAGAAAAGGCTGGACTAAGAAAAGTGAATACGCCTCTGAAGGTGGACTTAAAGGCAGCGATCACGATGGTAGGATGGCGGCACGATTGTGATGACGTCATTGAACGTTTCCAGTGGAAGGGGTCATGAGGCAGTCCCATCCACTTTCTCAGCGCGCTAAAGGGTCTACCATCTTTTCCAGTGACGTCATCCAAAGCTCCGCGAATCGTGATGGCTTGCGCTTAACTGACGGGATTTTCAGAGTATGTCCATCGGCCATTCGAGCATTTGGTAATCTGTCTAATAGCGCACTTGTGCGAGGGTTCAAAACAGCCATTATCGGTTTAGATGAGATTGGGGCGGAAATTCCCGTGGGTGTTCTTGGACTAGGAGAAGCCGAAATTGCCCAGCCTAAACATTCAATTTTCTGTTCAGTAAATCTAGGAATAGGATCTGGGTTATTTTATTTAAGGTTGGCCAATATGGAAAGCGCCGATTTGCTGCTGGTGGCAGCCGATGGCCGTAAACTGCCAGCACATGAATGCATATTACGAGCACGAGCTCCAGGATTTTATCAACGTCATGTTGAGGCTACCGTGTCGGCAATGGGCCGACAAGATGGACGTCTCAGAGACGGTATGGTGCTTTTGCTAATCACCGCCATAATTTCAAAAGTTCCCGCTTAGAGGTCCACGCGAACGCCTTTTAGTTCGGCTGACGCTTTGCGGCTTTTTGTGAAAATTTCCAGGGTTTCCAAACCCGTGTTTTAGGTGGCCATCGGGGACATCGATTCGTCCGGACTGGAGTTTTTCATACACTCCGTGTACACAGAGGACGAAATGGCTCAGTTTCCATCGCCACTCGAAGATGAACGCCGTGAGCCGTTTTTTAAATTTAGTTATTCATTATTGATTTTTTTCAGTTTTTCAATTTTAACCGCATGGTCTATATTACACATAGGGCCATGTTAGAGGCAGCGATCACTGTGGTTGGAGGGTGGCCTGGTTTTGATGAACATTGAAGGCGATTGATTAACTAAAGTTCTAACCGCACTGACGGTGTGGTTGGGACCGCCGCTCAATGGCCCTCCACCAATGGCGTTCAATGACGTCATCGAAACCGCACCGCCCTCCACCCATCGTGTTCGTTGCCTTCGGAAACTGATATACCGAGGTTTAGTTTGTGAAAACTGCCGTCGATTTATGGACAAGAAAAAGGGTGCCCTTGTGGCCTCCAAGAGTGAGTTCGGCTTTCCAGAGCACATCCACGCTCACGCAGAAGTAATCGCACATTTGTTCGCCATTTTAGACCAAAAATCAATTTTTCATTGCCATCTGAATTGCATTACCGTATTCCTGGAGTGAAAATGAACAGTGAGAAAATTTTGAACGGTGTGCAGTTCAGACTAATGAAAAATATAGGAATCCACAGCTTCAAACCCAACTACACGCCAAACACCAGGCATTGCACATCCCGTGCTTTTTAATGGTTTTTTATTCCCTATTTTCAGAACAGAGCTTTTTTATTTCGCAAAGGCCTGGTTGATATTAGCAATCAGATCTTATAATAGAAAAAAAGAGAACTTGTGGACCAATCACGTCACGACGTCCCATTGGGCGGGATTTTCGTGCCCTAATGGTCGATTGCTTTCCACCGCCTTTTTTCATACATTTTTCAACGAAGAGTTTGCTGAATATGTTTCCTACAAGTAATACAGTTTATAATGATGATTGCGATACATATTCTAGGCGACTCATCGCGTGCGTCGAACCGATCACTCGCAATGGATGAATCCACGGCTGAGTTGGATTTTCACCAGAGAGGGGCGGATGATAGGTATCATCTACTTATATTACCAGAGTGTCTCAGAAATTTTGAGGAAATCCGGTCAACGAAATAGCAATGAAAGCGTAAAATCGATGGGTAAGAAAGTAGCTCTCCTCAATCCATTGGTGGCAATGCGTTCTAAACGTGTCTGGCGTGTGGAAGCGCGCAGACTTTCCATGAAATCCAACTGTGGCTCGCTGGTGAGCCGCACCGTCCCACGAGGTCCCACTTTCGCTCCATTTC